TGCGGTTCTAGATGGTTGTAACGGTGTGTGGTGGAGGTAAATAGTGGTAGTCGGTGGTGTTGGAGTTTATGAGCTCTTGAATATTTATGAGAGAATTTTGAAAAAATTTGAGTGAGTTTGAAAGTTTTTTTTTTTGAAGTTTGAGTGTATCAGATCTAGTGTTTAATGGGTGTAATATTATGAGCGTATGTTGACAAAAATAACCTTAATAAAATGGTTCTTAACTTTTAGTGGTTCTCATTTGAACTTATATATATATATATATATATATATATATATATATATATATATATATATATATATATATATATATATATATGAACGGTCATGTTAGTATTTGTTTGGTATTAAACAAAGACCTTCTGGTTAGAAACTCCTATAGGCTAGCCATAACTTATATATATATATATATATATATATATATATATATATATATATATATATATATATATATATATATTAGTTTATAACCCGTGGGAACCACGGTTGGAAAATTAATTAAACTTTCTAAGTAAAAACTCAAAACTATTAATTAATAACTTTAAATAACTTATTAATTAAAAGATATTTTTTTAGTTATATATAAAATTATAATCGTTGATTCAAATAAATACGTAAAATATATAATCTTATAATTTGTATAAATTTTATTTTATTTTTATTCTAATATTATTAATTTAATGTAATTAAAATGTGATTTAAATTTTGAAATTTAAAATTTGAAATGGAGAATTAATAGATTGACAAGTCTCATGATATTAATTACAAGTATCAATAGATTGACAAGTGTCATGGTATTAATTACAATGCCTAACATGATGACACATGACAAAAGAACTACTTTTTTATTAGTATACTAGTTTATAACCCGTAAAACTACGGTTACAAAATTAATTAAACTTTAATAGTTAGAACACAAAATTATTAATCAATTATAATCGTTAATTTAAATAAATATGTGAAATTATATCACCTTATAATTTATATTAATTTTATTTTAATTTTTATTCCATTGCTATTAGTTTATTGTAATTAAAATGACAATTTTAAAATTTGAAATAGATAATTAATAGGTTGACAAGTGGCATGCATTAATTAAGAAGTTTAATAAGGTGACACATGGCAAAAAAAAAGAATAAAATATGTATTAATTAGGATGCCTAATATGATGACACGTGTCAAAAGGAGATTAAAACTATTCTTTTATTAGAATAAATATATATATATATATATATATATATATATATATATATATATATATATATATATATATATATATATATATATATATATATATATAGTAATAAATGGATATTAATTTCACTAATAAACTTATATTTTAATTTTAAATTACCAAAATTAAAACTCATTAGTTTCTTTTCTTTATTTAAACTAGAAAGGTTACCCCCGCGTAAGTTTTTAATATTATTTCCGAATCGATAAATACGACAGACGTAGAAAATGCACGGATGAAAAGCCCGGACTTTACTCCAGACTGTTTTTTTCATGTTTTTATGAAAAAATGTAAAGGTTTTGACTGCAATGATGAGAAGTTTTAAAACGCTTAAAGAATTAAAGGGGTGAGAATTAACAAATTTTTAGAAAAGGGATCAAACTTGTCAAACCGTTAAAGTTTTATGGCCAAACTTTAAATATTAATAGGTTCCTAAAAAGTGTAAAAATATTGATTGCAATGACCAAAAATATCAAAAATATATAAAGAATAAGGAGCAAAGTGCAGAGACCATTTCTGCCAAAAAAATGTTCAGTTTACTATTCATAAGCTTCATATATATATATATATATATATATATATATATATATATATATATATATATATATATATATATATATATATATATATATATATATATATATATATTACTTTTCTAAATTACAATATAAAAAAATTTCATTATAATAAATCATTATTTTTCTTATTTATTTATAAATTAACCTTTATATTTAATATTTATTTAAAAACAATTAACGCATATAATATATGAGTCTCACAACTAGTCAACAATATACTAAAACAAAATTTATATAAAAACAAACAAATGTAATAATAGTACGATTTTTATAAAATAGTCGTAGCAACTATAATATTTATATAGATTGTATATTAATGGTTAAGTTTAGCTCTTCATTGAAATGTTCAGGACCATCACAATAATATGTTATCGACAAAATTGCAAAAATAGCCTTGTGGTATGCAAAATTTTGGGGTTTTAGTCCAAACAACGGCTTTTTTGGTTTCGTAGTCATTTTGGAGTGGTTTGTTTGTGAAAATGGTCCATTCGAAAATTAAAATGACTATATTACCCTTGGGGTATTTATTTTTCATTTTTCTTTCATTATTCTTAAAATTTAATATTTATTTATTTATTTTAACAATTAAAAAAATAAAAAATGGCCCACTTCTCTCTCTCTCTCTCTCTCTCTCTATCACTTTCTCTCTCATTTCTTTGGGTTTGTTTGTTCGTTTCCTCATATTTTGAATCATAAGAAACATAATCCTAAAATCTCCATGAGAGCTCCACACAACTGTTTCCTCCTTTACCAGCCTCACCTTCGTCTGTTAATCCCAGCTAAACACCCCTGCTTCGACAAGTCGCCTTAGCAACGACCTCCTTTCTTCTTCGATCTTCACCTTTCTTCCCTCCCATCAAGAAAGCATCCATCGAGAAGGCGTCCAATGTTACCCTCCACTTTTGCTGAAAAAGAAACAAGCGTGTGAGTTATTGGTTCGTTCTGAAAAAGAACAAGAACATGGGTATGGAGGACGCCCTACTGATTTAGATAATCGACATTGGAGCCCTAACTTCGATTATCCACCATAATGATTTTGTTGCGACTTGGTTGTTTCACCGACACACCAAGCATGACGCTTGATTATTGATCCAACATTGTCGAATTCTCATTTTGTTCTTGGGTACTGAGCCAAAATCAATTTCACAAGGATGTTTATTGATCATCTTTCCTTCTCCATCGGCAACAACTTCAGGCTTCAGGTTTCTTTCCGCCTTGTATGATTTTGAAGAGTGTAAGACTGTTTACTTAGTAATCTGTGTGTCTCGGTGATCTAAGTTAGAATTCTGATGTTTGTGTTTGGTTTCAAATGGTTAATTTCTTGAAATCTAGGGTTTATATCCCAATTAATTTTTGCGGTCTAATTTTGACCATCGTTAATTGCTGTTTTTTTCCATATTTAGATTTTGGAGAATTAACCTTGCTTGTTCTTTATCTATTTCTTCTTATTTTCATTGGTTGTATCTGAGTGAAATTTTGTAATTGAAGCAGATATGTGTTTGTACGATTGTTCTTAAAGGGTGAAATTTTGTAATTGAAGCAGATGTGTGTTTGTACGATTGTTCTTCAAGGGTGCATTGATTTCAAACTTTGATAACAATGGTTTCATTGTCGATTCCTGTTATTCAAGTACAAAAAAAGCTTGATTTCTTTATAGATGAATCAGTTGAGAACGGAAGGGAGAGAGAGAGAGAGAGAGAGAGAGAGAGAGAGAGAGAGGTGGGTCATTTATTATTTTTTTTAATTGTTAAAATAAATAAATAAATATTAAATTTAAAAAAATGAAAGAAAAATGAAAAATAAATACCCCAAGGGTATTATAGTCATTTCAATTTTCGAAATGATCATTTTCACATACAAACCACTCCAAAAGAACTACGAAACCAAAAAAATCACTGTTTGTATTAATACCCCAAAATTTTATATACCACAAGAACCATTTTGTCTATGTTATCCAAATATAATGAACAGCCCATTATTTTGTAAAATGGCCCTTTGATGCAGTACAAGAATGCCTTATTTTTGTGAAACTACCTAACTACATCTTGAAATGTATTTACTTTTGTGAATGTCATTCATTTTTTATAAAAGAGTAAATTACACTAATGGTCCCGATAATTTGCACGTTTGGTTCTTAATTTTTTTTTTTTTTTTTTAATTCGGAAGATTTCTACTGTTTGTTTTTGTTATGCACTTGGTCCCTACTATTTGTTTTAGTTATGCGTTTGGTCATTGTCTTACCTAAAAAGATTATTATTCAAATAAAGAAAAATTATGAGATAGGTAAGATAAGGTAAGGGGATGGGATTTGATGTGTTTTTATTTAAATAAATTTAAAAATTAATGAAAAAATAATCTTTTTTAGGCAAGACAAGGACCAAACACATAACAAAAACAAACAGTACGAACCTTCCGAATTAAAAAAACAAACTAAGGACCATAGGAAGCATTCGTTTAATTTACTCTTTATAAAATAATATCAACATTTTTTATATTAAAAAACAGAAACACGTGTCCTGATCATGTATGGATGTAAATAAATGTTTGAGTAAATTATACAAATGGTCTTTTTGTTTCTCTCAAAATCAAAGGTAACATTGACAGATCCCATCTCATAACCTTTTAAAGTAGCTAACTAATCTAATTCTAAAACAAAAGGGCATAAAGAATCACCTTAAGTTCACAACACTTTTATGAACTATGAGCAAACACAAATCAAAAGTAATAACTTGAAATATATGAATATATGTTATATCAATGTGTAAATTGGTTGCAAGTAATTCCAAAAATCCATAGATGAAAAATGCACAAAAAATCACATTAGCATATGAACAAGCACTCTACATGAAAGAAAGTGATGAATATGGATTGGAGGGTTGTTTGCTATGTATACATTAAAAATTAATTTGAACACGGATTACAAAAATCACAAACCCAAATCTTTGAATTTTAAATCGAAGCAAAGAAAACATACTAAAAATCTATAATTGAACATGGTACATTGAAGCAAAGTCAATAAATGAAAGATCGTCTCCCTCAACCTCAACCTAGCCCCATAATTCCTCCATTGTTGGATTCGTTGTAATTGTTGGTGATTTGTGTCACCACTATCATCTACGTGTAATGGGATGAACCAATCACTGCTTTGAAAACTTGTTGTCGTAGCTCTACAAGATACGATTTGTTCACTAATCATCACCATTCCCCTGTTCATACAAAAATAATAACCCTAAAATCTTCTGGATATACATACGAATACGATCCACCATTGATAGCATAAATAAGGGGGTAAAAACTGTAAAAGTACCTTTCTAGATCCAAACTGGATCAACGTAATTCCCCAAAATCGTTGGTTTTTTTTCTTGAATTCCATCAAGATCAAAGCAGATTTGCAGAGGGTTGAAAGGGGACAAGCGTTATAACTTTTTTAAATCATGAGGACGCAATCTGTAAATTCTTTAAAGAGTGGACTAAACCTTTGATTTTGAGTAAACAATAAGGATCATTTCTGTAATTTACTTTGATTGGTGAAAGGCTTTGTTGGGTTTTGATGAATGAATAGTAGTATGGTACTTTGCGAGGAGAACGATTATATATATCTTTCATGATACTCGTCTTTAATACGATAACAAGGTTTCCAAAAAAATTTCTATGAATGAACGATTTATTTTTTATATTACAGTCGTTTGACCTTCAAACATTTTTGTATTTACAAAAGTAATCGTAAAATATGATGATGATATACAGAAAATATATTATATTACAATCATAATGTTTATTTTTTTATATATAAACAATTGAGTAAAGAGGGAAAGCCACTTATGCTCTGTGCCAGACGTAGGGGGATTCGAATCAGAAGAAGGTTCAGTAGAGGAAGTGTCTATAAGCATCAGCGAAGATCCAGTGATATCAAATTCCAAGTTAAAAGGATTCACAATCACAATAGTAGCTTCCGTAGTAGTAGCCTGAAAACGACCAAGCCCAACCCCAAATAACTTCTGGCGAAAAATATTGGCTACAGACAAAGCAGAGGTAATGGAACCTCTTGACAAAGGTCGAGATACCTCGGTAACAATCAGACCCTTGGATGAAACAATAGAGAAAAGGGGGGGGGGTTCCTTTTGGTTTAAGGAAGTAGGTAAAACTTCAATTGAAGGAACGTCAGAGTCAGACAAGGGGATATTATCATCAGCATGTTTTCGTGCAGGGTCGGTGATCACAGGGCAGTTATGTAGAGCAGAGGATGTTTGGGTCTCTACATGATCATTAGACTCAACAGATGTAGGGGAACCTGGGTATCCGATCCTCCGAATTCCTGCAACCTCGATCCAAGAGCATGGGCATACCTCTTTATTTTTGGAGGGGAGGTGGCGATCGACTAATCAGGACGATTCATTTTGCTCTCTAAGGAAACCACTTATTCTGAACCAGATTTCCTTTTTAACAAGTCCTTCATGGAAATCCTAGTAGAGCAAGACGGAGGTCACTGCCTGACTCCATCTTCACATTTTTCTTGATTGGAGAAGAGACGGGTGATATCAAAGCTTCTGAAGACGGAGGATTCACGATGGAATCCATACTCGATTCCGAGGGAGAAGGGGAGTCTGGCACACCAAAGTCCTCGATGACGACATATGAGTCTGTTAACCGTTTCTTATGCAAGCGATCTAGCAGAGTTATGTCTCAACCGACCACATTTTCGACCAATTTCTTACCCAGTCTGTTCCAAAGAGGACTCAGGTCAGCCATGCTTAGGGTTACCTCTTCTGAGTCCGCCCACTTAACATAGTTCTGATCCAAATGATCCATGATTTCTCACTCTTCAGTGGATAAGACTAGTGGAGCATCAGAACCCTTATCAGCAGTAGCACCATATGTCATGGGGCCAGAGAAAGCAAAAGCGTCAACAAAGAAGAAATCCTCTTTCCACCCTTTAACGGAAGTAGGAAGTCCATCTCAAAGTTCTACCAAGCCATGGCGAAGGGAAAAGGAGACCCAATCGCCATTAGAAATGGTAATATCGAAATGATGAAAGAAAGTTACAAAAGGAGGAATATAGGGAAGAGCACATGAGCATGAAACAAATCACCTTCCGAAACCCGTTTTGAGAAATTTGAGCGATTTGTAGTTGGTAATAGTCAAGAACCGCTTCCAGAAAATTAGGGGCAGGGAGGCAAAGCCCTAATTTGAAATGAACCTTGTACACTCCAGCAAAGGCAGTTGGTGTGTCGACAGTTGCATTTCCAGGCTCCGGAAGGCGAGGATGGAATTGGGGATCAATGTGGTATTTTTTTAAAGAGGGCAGCCAAACTCTTGACGGCAAGTTTGGATTTCACGGTCTCAATGTTGGAGATGTATTTACTAGACATGAGAGAAGAGAAAGGAAGACGAATAAAATTGGGGAGAAGTTCGAATGAAAGAAAATGAAATGAATCAAAGAAGTATTTGTAAGGGGATGGAAGAGGAAATGATAATATGGGAGACAAAATGGCAGTTACACACTATACACCCCTTAAATGGAAAAGAAATGAAAAGATAGTTATAGGCAATGATGGTCTCTAGGAGTTGTCAAACCGCTTCATCAGAATTCAATCCAGGTGCCTCGCCCTTTTCTATTCACAACGATCCTCATCAAAAACCTCATTAGTTTGAATTAATACTCACAACGGAAAGTAATAATCCAAACTGGAGGGGGGGTTAATAGGGTATAGGGTTAATCACCGTTCATATACCCTCAGAATGAGCGAACTACCGAACCTCGCATAACCCCCAAATTGTGTGAAAACCTCGAACCACATTTGATACCTAACTGAACCTAAAGTACCGAACATAGGTGAAGAAGTGACAAAAAGAATGAGATGTTGTCGCTATAGTATAGAAAGTACATGGGAACTTAAAGAACCAGGTACAATTGTATAACGGTTTCCGAGTTTTTTCTCTTCTTACCTTCGGATTTACGGCCATAAATGCGACAAGACCTCGGATCAGTTCGGTAGAAAGGAAGGTCAGGATGTTTTCTACTCCAAATATAAATAGGGGATTCGATGCACTCCTGCAAGGTACGCTAAGAACTACTCTCTCGCTTCGATTTGAGAACCAACCCAAAATCACAAATTTTTTACAACATAGTTTTCAAAACATGTTTTATATAAGAGTTTCCCAAAATCATAAGTTCAAAACATGAGGATGTGTATGGCCATGCCTTCGCCTTCCCACGATCCTCTGAAGTATCTGAAACATAATCCAAAACTGTAAACCAACGCTTAGTGAGTTCCCTTAAAGTACCAACACAACTCATAATCACAATAACAACATGCATACAAAGCCTTCAGTATGACTGGAACGCCCACCAACCTATAGTGTATCTGGTAGGCTCACAAAACCTTCAACATGACTGGTACGCCTCAACGGGCCTTCAGACTATCTGGAACGTTCTCTGGGCCTTCATCCTGAATGGTACTCCTCTCGGGCCTAGAGTCTATCTGGGATGCCTTGGGCTTCTCGGCCTTCAGCATATAGCAGGACCGCCTCAACCCCACATACCATCACATATCAACTTATATTATATCAAACCTAGCTAGCATATATATACAGTCATACAAATCTAACAAATCACTAAGCATAGCATCATCCTATATACCAAGATACAGATCTAACAGATCACTACAACATACAATCATGCGATAAACCAGGATAACAATCTAAAGGGGACGACCTTGGTGCATTCGACCCAAAAATACAGTGAGGAAAACTCACCTCGCAAACTGAACATAACTAATGAGGTCCTAATCCGAATCACAGCTCTCTAACTGATACTTATTTCCACCAGGTGACCAATTCCATCCAAATCCCAAAATACCCTCAAGGTCAAACTTGGTCAAAGTTAAAGTCAACTGGTCAAACCCACTGAGTTAACTGAGTCAACCCAGCCGAGTCAACTCAATAAGGCTCACCCAGTGCGAGTATGCAGGGCGTACTCTGGAGGTACGTATGATGTACACAAAGCCTCACAGTTGACCACCCATTGGGGTGGTTGACCGAGTATGCAGGGATTACTCCTATGTACGCGAAGTGTACCCTTGCAGTCTTGAAACTCAATTCAGTGCTTAATGGCTTAAGAACTTAAGTCCATATTTTTCAGATCTAAGGTCCAAATACACTCTAGAGTCATAAAGTTTCCAACTTTATGACTTTACAAGTCTAAAAAGTGCTTAACACAAGGTCTTAATCCATTAAGATCTTCTACAAGATGCATAAAGCAAATCTAACAAATGGGACCTCATTTTTATGGCTTAGGACCCCTCCCAGGGTCTGAGTGGACAACGCAAATCGACAAGAACAAACCATGCACAAGATGAGACCTTTGAGACCAAAAAGTAACATAAAAACACCCAAAAATGAGATCTAACAAACAAGACATCAAGTTATGAACTTTATACCTTCTAAAGATGGAGAAGAATGCAAAATTCCCAGATCCAAGCTTGCTTCAAGCTTTCCAACTTCACCACTACCTTCCTCTTCATTTGGAACACATAAAAACTCACACTAAACCTTCCAAGAACTCAAATGAGGCTAGGGTTTGCAAGAGAGCATAAATATGTTGATAGAGGCTGGAAATGATAAGAGAAATGAGGCTTAATTTTGCTTAAACACCACCCGGACCCTAAAAATTAGTGTTTTCCTGCTTTATCTAGTACGCCCCGTGTACATAAGCGTACACACATGTACGCATGGCGTACTTCTCCTGTCAAAATTATGAAAAATGCCACTAGGGCTTCAAGGCACTTTCTCTTGGGACTTAGGGACCGAAATGTCATAAATAAAATTATAGGGATGAATTTAGAAGTACCTTAACATCGGGATGTTACATGAAGTCTTCTACTAAGTTAATCGTTGGAGCGTTGTTTCGGGACCCTGTCCCAACCAACCATCTTATGAATTTGTGATTGTTTCTAGGTAATCCATCGTTAGAAGAAGTTACTCGACTCTGCTATTATGGAGGATGGAATCGGAGGCACATCATGTACCCTCGGCAAAAGGGACGAATTACAAATTTTGAAAAATGTTTGAAAACACAATCCTTGAATCTATCCAAGTTTGTATTTATTGTTATTTTGATCCTTTAAATTCTAACAACACCCACCAACTGTCCAATGCCGACTTCACCTACCATCCCTCAAACTCTTCTCCCGACTTCACCCGTTGATCAGCAACCCATCTTCGAGCTTAACTCTCAGTCATTCACCAGTTACAATGACACAACTGAATCACTCCCATCCCTAATATCTCCTAACCGCCCTTCATCCATAAATCAAACTTCACACCCAATGCTCATACATTCTAAGCAAGGCATTTTTTAACCCGTACGTAAATTAAATTTACACGTTGATACCACCTCTCCTATTCCCAAAAATTATTTATAGGCTTTTAAGGATCCAAATTGGCTTAATGTCATGAATTATGAATATACCACGCTTATCTATATTCAGACTTGGGTACTTGTTCCAAGACCTCCTCATGCTAACATTATTAATTGTATTGGGTTGTTCAAAAAGAAACTCAATGCAGATGCACCCTTATCATGATACAAAGCGCGTCTTGTTGTCAATGGCCGCTGTCAGCGACCCGATATTGATTGTGATGAGACTTTTAGCCCGGTGGTGAAGCCTGCCACTATTCGCACGATTCTTAGTATCGCTGTCACTCATAGTGGCCTATTAGACAACTTGATGTCAAAAATGCGTTCCTTCATGGTCAGCTACAGGAAACAGTATATATGCATCGGCCTTCGGGTTTTCGTGATCTTTCTCACCCTGACTATGTTTGCTTGCTTCAGCGGTCTTTGTATGTTCTGAAGCAAGCCCTTGTGTCTGGTTTCAACGATTTGCCACCTCCACTTCTCACATTGGTTTGTTCATAACAGATGTGACTCTTCTTTGATTATTTATCGTCAGGGCACTCGCATGACATATTTGTTGTTATATGTAGATGATATTGTTCTTACCGACTCATCGAATCAACTTCTGTCTCACATCATCTCTTTATTGAGCATTGAATTTTTTGTGAGTGGGGATCTTCAGTTCTTCACTACTTTCTGGGCATCTACCTTATATAGGGCTGTAAACGAACTGAACGTTCGGCGAACCGTTCGTGAACTGATCGGCGGGAAGTTCGTTTATGTTCGTTTATTTAATAAATGAACGAACATGAACAAAAATTATCATTCGTTTAGTTAAATGAACGAACATGAACAATGGTCTCGTTCGTTCATTTATGTTCGTGAACGTTCGTTTATGATGTTCATTTACGTTCGTTTATGTTTGTTCGTTTAAGTTTATTTATATTCATCTATATTCAATTATTTTTTATTATATTGTTATATTGTATGTTCGTTTATGTTCATATATGTTCAATTGTTTTTTTTTTTTTTTTTTTTATAATCTTTGTTCGTTTATGTTTGTTCGTTTATGTTCGTTTAGCATGTTCACGAACATAAATGAACGAACATGAACAAAGTAATTTGTTAAATGAACGAACATGAATAAGAAAATCTCGTTCGTGTTCGTTTGTTGTTCGGC